TTAGATTCCCTGAATCATGGCAGTTGCAAACTGCTATAGATTCTCATCCTGTAATAAATCAGGATGTAGAACAAGTTAGTCAAGATGCTAACGGAGATGTTGTCATAAGATTCAATCAGAGAAGGTCCATTACTCTTCCAAGGATATCTTATCCCTCTTCTAATATATCTCAAAATGATTCAGATGAATTATCAACAATAAATCATAGGATAGATAGAATAAATCTATCAAATAATAATTTATTACACCCAAATAGGGTAGAAAACCTATCTCCGCAATCGGAAGCCAGTTTTAATTTTAATAATGACTGATTTAAAACAATTCATAAAAAAACAAATCAGACAAACTTTAATCAATAATTATTTAGAACCAAAATATGAATCATTTAGAAATTGGTATCGTAGTTATACCACAGAAAATGATAGAAGAAAAATTTCTGAAATTTATTTTCAAGAAAATGAAAACAGATTTTATGAAGGAAAAGAACAATTAAAATGCAGTACAAATATGCATACCACTCCATATTTACATTTATATGCATACCACTCCAGCTATTGCATCAAAAATATCATGAAAAAGAAAGGCTCCTTATCAAAATATTTTTTAAGCACAAATATGATCTCGCCCGAAAATATGAGACAATTGATACGTCATGAACAAATTCTACATTATTCGACATGAATCTCAAGGCATTAGCATGAATCTCGAGACAAATTTAGAGACAAATTTTGAACAAGAAACATTCAGACTTCAATTATAAGTCATCTAGAACATTGATTTCAGCAAATTTATAGTCAAACTGACCGATTCGATGAGATTGACGTAATCATGTTAGAACTAGTCAAATCGAGCTCATATCAAGTGATTAAACCACTCTTAGAATATTTCCATACATATTTGAAAGGTCAAACAGATGCATAATCTGGCGAGTTTATAGTCTAACCGAGCGTCTCGATAAAGACAAATCCAACGAACCCAAAAGTGCTTAATTTCGACATCATTAAGACACTCAAATATCCATCCAACATCACATGATCGATACTACATTATTCGACATGAATCTCAAGGCATTAGCATGAATCTCGAGACAAATTTTGAACAATAAACATTCAAACTTCAATTATAAGTCATCTAGAACATTGATTTCAACAAATTTATAGTCAAACTGACCGATTCGATGAGATTGGCATAATCATGTTAGAACTAGTCAAATCGAGCTCATATCAAGTGATTAAACCACTTTTAGAATATTTCCATACATATTTGGAAGGTCAAACAAATGCATAATCTAGCGAGTTTATAGTCTAACCGAGCGTCTCGATAAAGACAAATCCAACGAACCCAAAAGTGCTTAATTTCGACATCATTAAGACACTCAAATATCCATCCAACATCACATGATCGATAGAAGCTCTCTGTACTGTTCGATCAAAATGCTTTATATTTCAGCACGGGTCTTTAGCCTTGAGAAATAACTTTAGGTTTTGAGAATGAGCTGAAGTCTAACACTATCCCTGCCATCATCTATCGTCGTCGACAACCTGTCGACCCTTGCCGACCACTGTTAGCCACCGCCAATTTCCGTCGACCGTCGTCAACCACCGTCGACCGTTGTCCACCACTGCCGAAGCCCGCCGACAACACCAACCCTCATCGAGTCGAGCACTACTGTTGTTGTTAACCATCACCGATCATCATCTCCCACCGATAACCATTATCGATCACTACTAACCAGAAGCGGTCAGTCAACTTTGTAACTTGTAAAATCTTGTAACATTTTTTTTTTTGTGGCATAAGTGGTTTCCGTAATCATTAATCAATAGTGTATTTTCTCTTTTCGGATTTTCCACGTAAAAAGCTTCTGGTGTCATTATTGGTTGTTTTCTTTTTCCTGAGTGTATTTTGAATTCTCGTGCAACGCTAAAACGATAATTCAAAATTCTACTGTCACGAATTTTCTAGCACGCATGAGTACTAAATCATTAAATTGAGATTGTAAGCTTATTTTGTGATATACTTGAATGATTAAATAGGCGAGATCTTCTAAATGTTTATGTATCTTAAAAGTATCAATTAAAGATGGAAATATATCAAAAATATCACATCTCATAAAAACGAGAGATTATTGCGTGCGGACACCGCATGCATTTTTAAAAGTTTAATATTTATTTGTTGTTTACTGTTTCGAATTTTTTTTTTTTTTTTTTATAAAAAAAAAAAATTCGGGGGGGCCCACCGAAATACATCGGAACCGTAGATCATCTACGGCCCGGATCGGATACCCCGCTCGGTATGGAATAATTTTTCCATAAAAACTGGCTTCTTAAAAGTATTTCTAATTCAATCACTTGTCCTCATGGCCATAAAAACTGGCTTCTAAAAGTATTTCTAATTCAATCACTTGTCCTCATGGCGGAGCTTTGGAGCTTTGGACTCCTAAGACTCCACTTCACAAAATTTTAAAGATGAAGACATGGTCAGCAGGAGCTTGCTGTAATCCTCCTTTCTTTCGTTCCTGCGGGTTGCCGGCCATGGGACCATTTCTACTGCCTCCTTTAGTCCCTTCTTCCTTCTCTTCCATTTCTTGCGGTGGAGACGGAGCAGAAGGGCTTCGACTGTTGGGATGGAGGTTGGAAGAAGAAGCTCGAGCTCTAAAAATGAGTTTCGCGAAAGCAGGAGTGGTAGGAAGAAGATGGGTGCTCTTCCCCTTGCCATGTTTCTCTCTTTCAACGATAAGGATGTTCATCCCGACTGCCCTAACGTATCCAATCCCTACCATAAATGCGGCCGACACTGCCTTGTCGAAATTCCCCGTGGCAAGAATTTCTTGGACGCTCTAAGATCAGGTGCTTCATCTGCACTATGCTTTGTTTATCATACTTTTTTTTCTATTTATTTTTCTGTTTATTTGTTTGTTTGTTCTTCGATTTTGAGCGCCTACTGTATGAATTTGTAGATGGGGATCAGGAGTGGGAGAAGAAATCAGGGAAAATGGGGGTCAATCCGAATTGCCCTCACGCTTCCAATCCCTACCACAAATGCGCGGGTTACTGTTTGGATAAACTTTCCGAGAAGCTTCAGGATGCAGGAAAAGATCAAGCAGGTTCGATTTGTTGCTTCCTCTGCCTGCCTTAGGTTAAGTTTACTGGTTTATTTACAACCTTCCAATAATAGTTTACGACTCCTGATCAACGCATGACAATTGCTATGGTAAACAAGATTTATTTTAAAATAGATTGGGTCACCTGAATAAATTTTTTTTGTGAGGAGAAGTCCTAAACTGATTGAGTTTTTTAAAAAATAACTGTACTAAAAGTTTAATAGAATATTATGTAGAAGAATGTTAATTTTAATATAACAGTTTTGTTACAAACGATAATTATAATACAAAAATTGCTAGTGAAATGTAAAATAATTTCTCATACAATTCTCGTTCCAAGTAATATCAAGCTATACAATTATTATCTATCAATATATCAATCTCCTCTTATATATATATATATATATATAT